ATCGAGTCCCGCATCGGGCTCCCTGTTAGGTGGGGAGCCTGCTTCTCCTTCTGCCTCTCTCTCTCTCTCTCTGACTCTCATGAATAAATAAATAAAACATTTAAAAAAAAAATCAATAATCCAAATAATGCGGGGAAAATTCTGAGCTGCCATTTTCACACAAAAACCAAGGATGTTCTGTCACACCAACCATTGGCATTGTGGCCAAGTGCTTCTCATCCAGAAACAGTTCGTACCAGTGTGGTTTCTGGGAGGAGCAAGCTGGCTGCTGATCCTTACGGGCCTCGTCCTTGGACGCAGGAATCTTTGTTCCCTGGATAAAGGGATCCAGACATTGCGCTCCCATCTGCAAGGGCACAGCTCTGGGGGTTTCTTCATGCGTGTGCCTCCTGGCCAGAGAGGGCGGACTGATGAGCAGGCATCTAGGGTGGGGGTTGCCAGACATGCAGAGAGCACGATGCCCAGCTGTCTTCCAGGGAAACCTCTGCCTCCAAGGAGGCCCGCACACAAGGCAGAGACCTTCTGTAGCGCAGGTGGCTGGAGCAGCCCAGTGTCTGTCCCTCAGCTGTTGGACACGCAAGGCCAAGGGGGCTTGTGGTTTTATCAGACCTTACTTCAAATAAGCCCTCCATGGCTGCTGCCATCAGCCCCTGATGCCCAGCAGGGCCGGTGGGAGGGCTGAGGAGCCGCTTGGCTTGGAAGGTCCGCTGTGCCCTGGCTGCTAGTGCTCTCGGAGCTCAGTCCTTCACCCAGTTCTGCCGAGAGGGGAAAAGATGAAATGAAGTCGTCGTGTGGATTAGTGGTGTCTTTATTTTTGTTCATTTGTAGTCACTTCATATGTTACTTTGTGAATGTACTTTTTTTTCCTTAGGCAAAAATATGAGTGTCAGTTCCCACCACCAACTTAATCAAAATAGAGTAATAGTCTTAACCAGGGTCATGTAGAGACAGCATTCCCAAGCAAGCATAAAACTGACATTGATTTCTTTGCCTGGAAATAAAAAAATAAGTGTCTGTGAGTCATCTTTGGATTTGCATTACAAACAGGAATGCAAATGAATGCCACCCTGTCTGCATAACCTACAGATTTCAAAAATATGTTTTGATTTGATGCATTTTAAGCCAAATATGCAAAGTTTACTAAAATCCTAAAATTTTCCAGTGAGGTATTCAAAGTTTGAGTTTTTGCTTGTGTTGATGACTCATTTTCTCTTTTGTTTTCTGTTTTTGTTCTTGATTTACCTTAACCTACCTGCTGACTCACGCCATCCAACCAACATACAATGCGAAAACCATGTCTCCGTCTGTATGTTGCGCACCTGCTGCTCAAACATCCCAATTTGTAAATAATACGCAAATATCCATCCATGAAAACATCACATATAGGAAACGGTTGGTTTCATGACTTTAAACAGTTCTTAAAACTCCTTGCTTTGCTTGCTCTACTCCTGTTCTTTCTTCCATTTCCTGTGGCTCCTCACCACTGCCTTCCTAAGGTGTGTGGTCAGAGTCTGGCAGTACCCGTCCCCTCTGGCCTCTTCTCCTCGGCTCCTGGGGTCCAGCAGGGGCTTCTGAAGGCCCTCCCAGGAGCCATTTGATTCAGGAACTGGCCTTGGGTCTAGAGAGGAGGTGGAGGGTCTTCTGAGTGAAGCGGGTAAGTGCCCAGTTCTTCTTGTCGGGATTGGGCTCAGAATTGGAGGGATTTTGTAGGACATGAGTTTGGACCTGATCCTGTAGAGTCCATGGTTTCTCTTGCACCATCTCCCTTCTGCTCTGTCCCCACCGTACCAACATACAAGGCTGGTTCTCCCCAGTGGCCTCTGATGATGTCTCCCATAGCATTCTCCCTGGACATGCCCTTCTATAGGGAACCCTCTCTGGGTCTCAGGGCTGGAGGGGATTGGAGATTTTGTCTTCATGATTCAAAAAGGGAGTGGTGTGAGGCCTAATGGAGGGGGAAGAGGATCTGCCCCCAGAGAAAGTGAAGCTCAGGGCTCTTGTGCACCCTTGCTCAGTGAGCTCGTGTGGAGTACAGGTAGCATGAACTGGGGCTTCCTTCCAGACCTTCAGTGATGTTTGAGAGGAGAGCAGATTAAACTGAAGCTGTAACTGGAAATTCACATAAAGTAGCAAATATTTGAGATTCCTGTTACAGAAAACAAACACTAATGATAAAGTATTTCACAAGTGGAGCAGAAGATCTTGAGTTGTGAGAAAATGCCATTTGATGCCGCAGAAATTTTCGACTCACTCAGGCCTTTTCGTGGCCATTTCCCGTCCACTTGGGAAGAGCACCGCCACCCCACCCCACCCCCCGCCGCCCCGTGCCCTTCGTCGTCCTCCAGAGCACACATCATCACCTGACATGCTGCGCATGTTGGGGTATACAGAGCTTTTCTTTTCTTCATCGTTGTCCCATGAGAACAAAGCTGATTAGGAGAGCAGTTTGTTGCAGCATGGACTGTGGCCCCCAGCAGATGTGCAAGGTCACTTTGCTTGACCCTGCCTGGAAACAGTGATGTACTTGGACGCAGGAGAGGCCGACCTGGGTCTGAGGCCTGTTGATCCCCTTTGTGGGGGCCGTGTTTCACAATGCCCGGCGTACCTTTAAATCCCTTAAATCTCAGACTCCTCACTGTCTGGGCACAATGTCCTCATGTCTCCATCTTGTGGATGAGGAAGCAAGGGGCTCAGAGGAGCCAGGGACCAGTGTACCCTCAAGGTGAATCAGCTACCACATTGAGAGGTGCGATGATGCATCTTTGGGGTGCTCTAGACCTTTCCTGATGCAGAGGCAGATGGCAATAAGGCAGGGCCTGGCTTTGAAATAGTAGGTGAAGTAGTAGGTGCTCTCTGGTGTGACAGGAACCACGGACTCTGGGAGGATGGGGCAAGCTCTGTCCACCTCCAAGGGGTTGGCCGAGGCCAGAGGCGACTAGCCGTGGGGAGGCTGCCGTGTGCTTGCTGCCCCCTGCTCTCCTGCATGCGCTCGCATGGTGGTGCCAGGCAGCTCCCGCCCTGGGCGCAGCCACGGAGTGCTCTGCCTGCCACGCTGTGCTCGGAGTGTCTGTGGCTGCTGCCGCCATCCGTCCTCATGGCTCTCTAGGGCTGTCTGTCTGTTGCCACCCCCACCCCTCTCCCGAATGCCCCCTGGAGCCCCGAGAAAAGACATCTGGGAGGAGGGGTGAGAACTTGAGTCTCAACAAGCAGTAGTAGGGGACTTGTTGAGCTTTGCGTTCATGCACTAACTCTGTGGATGGACAGTGCCTTCCCCTGCCTTGTCTTCCATCCCTTCTTTCTCACCCAGAGCCTGGATTTTCCCCAATATCTCCAGGAAATCTTGTCTGTGCCAGTGGCCTGAGCAGAGTGCTTTGGGCTGGGCAAATGATAACTGTGTTATCACAGCGTTGGCCCCTCCAGACCCAAGTGAGCAGGTGCTTTAGAGGCCGGGCCCTTGGAAGCTCCCTCCCGTTCCTCTGTTTTATTGTCTTGTACAAAGGATTTCCCAGCACTGTAGACAAAGTCTCCCTTCCATCTCTGTGCCCATCCTCCCGAGGTGACTGGCTCATTTGAGAACCTGGGGCCCACGGGGCGGGTGTGGATGTCTCTTGGGCATCCTGTACCACTGAGATTCACTTTCCCCAGCACAAGCAGGTGAGGGAGCGCTAGGCAAACTGTGTGCCCTCCGGGTCACACCTCAAGGTCCACTCCTGCCTTCTTGCTGATCTGGACCACAGTCAGCACCTCCTTGTGACTACCAGACCTCCCACCCCATGGCTCCAACATCTAGCCCTCCAGCAGAGACAGTCTAGTCTCCAGCCACCCCGGTGGGAACCGAAGAGGCAGACAAGGGCTGGGTTGGGGCCACTGTCCTTAGAAGTAAGAGTGAGACCTGCCTCTCCACCGAAGGCCTCAGCCCAGCCAAGAGCAGATGGGCAGCCCTGGAGGGAGGGCGGCCAGCTCTCCCCAGGCTCCCCATGCGTCTTGCACGTGCTCTCCTACTGCTGCTCTCATTCAACATGTCGTGTTCTTTTCTCTTCATCTGACCACTGAATCTGGCGATACGATGTGTCTAGGCCTGAGCTGCTTGCATATGTTAAAACACCAAGGTGGCAGGAAGCTGCTGTCAGGCTGCGTGCAGGCACCTGGTCTCCAAGCAGACAGAGGGTGGGAGGCTGCCCAGGGCCACAAGCACCCCCACGTCATGGACACCGTCCAGAGCCATGCTCCCTGAAGGGGATGTGCCAATAACTCAAGGCGCCCCTGGGCCAGGGTGGAAGCCTCACTCCCAGGTAATCTGTGGAGTCCAGAGTTTATTGCTTCTTTTTGTGCTTGATTTTGAACCTCTTGGATGAGGGAGCAGCGCTAGATACCCTGGGATCTCTGGAGTTGAGACCATTTGCGGATTTCATAAGTGGCTTCCGTGGTGTGGGCAGCAGGATCGCCAACACTTACCCTTCCTATGGTGACTTGTCTGCAGGCACCAGGAGCAGCCCCAGAAGAGATGTTTGCCCCTCTGCCAGGTCCCAGGCAGCAGGGGCTTTGCTAGCCGTATGGAGAAGCGAAGGGCCCTTCAGAGGCTCTCGGTGAAGAAGCAGCCCTGCCCGGCACTTGGACGGCTTGGCTGCGTCTTGCAAGAGGTGGTCAGTGTTAGAGGCCCGTCCACAGTTGGTCTCCTGGCTCCACCTGGCAGCAAGGAGCTGCTTCTGAGAATTTTTCTCTCTCTCCCTCCCTGTCGGGGGCAGGGGAGCCTAAAGCAGAGGGGTTTCTTTGATTTGCTGCATGAGAAGTGATTTGCAATGACAAGCTTTACTTTTGGAAGGTTTTCTGGTGGCCGATTGCTGCTTATACTGTAGAGCAGTGATGTTTTGTTCGACCTCTCCTTGTATCCGCTTTTCTTCGGGACCACAGCACGCCAGGGAGAGGTGGGTGGGGAGCAGCCCCTGCAGTTGCAGGAGGCTGGTCTCTGCAGGTTAGAGAACAGCCTCTCTTCCCTACAGAACAATTTCATCAACCTCAGCTTTCTCCGCCTCTTCCGTGCTGCCCGGCTCATCAAGCTGCTGCGCCAGGGCTATACCATCCGCATCCTGCTGTGGACCTTCGTCCAGTCCTTCAAGGTGAAGCCAGGCACGGCCCTCGTGCCCTGACCCTCCCCCGTGTGAGCACAGTGCTGTGGCCACCACCTCCTCCTTGCCACCAGAGCAGCCCCTCCTCGTGGAGGCTCCTTGTTGGCACCCGTTATCCTATTGTAGTTTACGAAGACATTTTAAGTGATCCAGAGAGCATCTTGGTAATGCTCACTGACTCTGAGGTGGGTTCTATGGCTGATTATAGACGAAGGAACTGAAGCAGTCTCTTGGTGGAGGGGCTTCATGGTCAATGGGGGTGGATCTCTGGTCGCTGGGGTCTGGGTGGCCCCAGAGACCCGGCCACCGTCCACTCTGCAGACGAGGCCCGAGCAAGGTAGCTGGGCAGCCCTCCCTGGAGCTGCCCTGTCCTCCATGTGTCTCCACAGGCCCTGCCCTACGTGTGTCTGCTCATCGCCATGCTGTTCTTCATCTACGCCATCATCGGCATGCAGGTGGGTGCGCCTGATGGGACAGGGAGCTGAAGGGGCCCCTGTGCCCTGGGGCAAAAGGGCACTGATCATGGTCATCAAATGGTAACAATGACAGATTGGCACTTGGGGAACATTTCTATGTTTGAAGCACTTTATGAACTTAATTCTCAGAAAGGCTGCTTCTACCAATACGGACACGGAGGCTGGGCACCACGGGTTTGGGCCTGTCACCCAGAGTCCACTAGTGAGGCGTAGCTCCCCCGTCTGCGGGAAAATGCTCTGCTGTGCTCCTGAATGGAACCCCATTGGGCTGTTAGGGTGTTGATGGGCATGTTTGATTGGGTGCTGGGCCCCCATGGTGGTGGAGCTTTTGAGCACATCTGCCTGGTGCTGAGTGGCCTGCAAAGCACCAGCTGGTCATTCTGATAGTCCAGAGAGTTGACCTGATCCTTTACAGGAAATTATATATCACAGAAGAAACAAGTCAACAGGATCACACCAGATCACTGTACTGTCAAATTCAGCTTGGACAAGTTAGATTGCCTTTATTTTGCCAAAGAACCCTTTGTCAGCTATTTGGAAAAACATTTAAAAGACACAAAGCAGTGTTCCAGTTTTAAATCTTTGGCATCTGGCCACTTTTCAACAGTAGGGTGGGAGATGGATCCAAATGTTAAATTATAGTGGGAGAAGCCATTGTCTTAAAGGTTAGCTGAGAACTGATTTTTAAACTCTACTTCAAGGATTGAAAAGGTTCTCTTCCTTTAAAGTTTGCTGAGACCTGATGCTATTTAAAAAATACATATATTTGTGCCCACTTTGGTTTGGGAATTTATCAGACCAGAAGGGTCACTGATCTTTGTTTTTGGTGAATATGTGATAGTTCATAAATTTTTCAGCCAGATTCCAGATTTTAAGCCAAGTGCAGTTACTGACTTGTTTGCATTCCTAACACTAAAAAGAAATCAATTAAAATGGATAAAAAGCCCCTTGTGATATTTGCACAGAAATTTAAAAAGAAACTTTCAAGTTGACCTCATAGCTATTACCAGTATAATTACTGCTTCGGAGTCATCGATGACAGAGTGAACTTTCAAATGCTTCCTGTCTTATATATAGCGCAGCCCATGTAAACTTAGCCCCGGGTGGCGTTCTTACTCGGCATGCAGACTTGCAGTTGTAGACATGCAGAGCTGGGGGGGCAGTGACGTGTTTGGCTGGAAGTGCTGGCCCCTCCAGCCCCTGCAGCAGTGCTGGTGGCTAAGGGCAGCGTCCTGTGCCTTGTGGGTCCTCATGTGCACACGTCCTCTTCTGCCTGGCCACAGCCTTCTTTCTCATTTCAGGTTTTTGGAAACATTGCCCTGGATGATGACACCAGCATCAACCGACACAACAACTTCAGGACGTTTTTACAAGCCTTGATGCTGTTGTTCAGGTGTGTTGTTTGTGGAGCCAGCGCAGGCTCAGAGGCTCCTCTGTCCAGGAGGGACAGGGCGTGTGCCGACCCAGGGGGCCACCCCCTCCGACCCCCAGCTTGTGCAGGCTCAGAGGC